GGCCCTCAAGGGGCGGCCGTTGGGTCATACTCGCTCTCTACAAGCGCCGCCTCCATGAACGGCACCAGTCACCGGCGTCGCCACGCTCTGCCCCTTTTCCCCCTTTCGTCGAGGTCCGAGAGAAAGGAAAGGAGTGAGTGGGAGAAGATGAGATCGTGCAGGGGCTTTTTGGCTAAAAAGCCAGCTGCTGCCGAGGGTCACGTGTGCCTCATGTGCCTCCCTTGCGTACGTGGACAGCCACGTCGACTGCTTAACACTGCATAGGCTATTTAGGACCTACATGGACTGAATTAAGTAGATTGGGGAGCCAAGAGTGTGATTTCATAGTTTGGGGACCCAGACGAAATCAACCCAATACTTTAAGGACCGGCCGTGTAATTTACTCAATTCTAGAGGAGGGAAATGGGAATAACCTGTTGGTTTGTCTGAGAATTGTTTGATACCGATACTCCCCTTGCCTTGCTTCCTTTGTACTCCTCCAGCAAGTCTACACTGGGCCCTGGGCCTTGGGCCCTAGGCCTAGGCCCATGCGATGGCCCAGCCATAGTCGAGCCCTGACAGTCCACCATGCGGCTAGGAAGCACGACGACTACATTGAGCCTGTTCGCTGGTTAGTTTCTAGGCTAATAAGCTCAGCTGGTGCTGGTTTGTTGTGAGAGGAAAACACTGTTGGCTGACTGATAAGCCCTGGCTGAAACCAACAAGCAAACAGGTGTAGGGTCGAGATGGCGGACTAGAGGGGGGTGAATAGTCCTTTCTAAATTTAATCGTGCTGGCTAACCGAATCAAATGCGGAATTAAAACAATCGGTCTAGTCAAGACTACACCCCTCTATCGAAGTTCATAAGCACCTTATAAAGATCCTAATTAGGCAGCAAAGGTGCCGGGCTAGCTAGAGCTCACCTATCCAATTCTAAGAGCAAGGTCACACAAACCTATGCCACTAGTATTTTGCACACCGAAGAGCTCCTACACATGCTAGTAAGCAAAAGCACAAAGCCACCTAAGCTCACTAACAATGCTCAATAATAAGGCTACACAAGCTAAATTATATAGCGCAAATTATTTAGCTACACAAACTAAGCAATGTGACTAATAAGGTTACTCAAACCGAATTAGTCACGCAATGGAGCTACTTCTATGCTACACAAACTAGAAGGTAACTAGCAAGCTACACAAGCTAACTAATTACAAGAGCAACTACACAAGCACAATGTAAATGAAGTAAATACAAGCTTGTGTAATGAGGATGCAAACCAACGGGAATACAAGGATGACACGATGATTTTTATCCTGAGGTTCACGTGCTTGCCAACATGCTAGTCCCCATTGAGACACTCTCCCACGTGGAGTGCTTACCACAAGCTCTAGCACTTGACCCGCCCGGACCACTTGTCGCCCTTCGCGTCTCGCTCTACTAGAGTTGCTCCTCGCGGCTACTGCGGGGCGAGCACAATGCCCCTCACAAAGCTCTTCTCCGGAGCACCGCACAAGATTCTTGTAGGCTTTGATGGAGACCACCACCAAGCCATCTAGGAGGTGGCAACCTCCAAGAGTAACAAGCACCACCGGCTTGTAACTCGATCATCTAGTGCCACTCGATGCAACCTCACGATACAATCGTACTAGAATCGCTTACTCACTCGATCGGATGAACACTATCAAGCTAGAGTGAGTTAGAAGGCTCCCAAGCACTACCACATAAAGCCACCAAGGCTCTAGTGTGTTGCCTTACCAGCCCAAGGCTGCCCAAAGGGCTATTTATAAACCCCCACACGAAAAGAGCCATTGTACCCCTTTACTAGGCACAACTCGGGGTGACCGGACGCACCGGTCAGATCGACCAGACGCACCCGGCCAGCGTCCAGTCAACGGATGCATGCCACGTGTTGCTCCCATTCAACCTTAGTCGGTTGATCTCAATGGTCGACTGCCACGCGCCAACGGTCAAGTGATGACCGGACGCACCTCTATGCAAAGACCGGACGAGCGAGCCTCAGAGTTCGGTCGTTTCTAGAGAGCTCCCTGAGCCTCTGTTTTGTGACCGGACGCGTTTGGTCCCTGGTGACCGGACTTGCCTCTGCGTTCGATCCCCTCTGGATCAACTTAGCGCTCTACGTCAGCGTACGTCATCACTGACCGGACGCAGCCACTGAGCGTCAGGTCACTTCTTCGCTTAGCGTCTGGTCGAAGACCGATGCCTGCACCTTCACTGTTGCCACGGTCCTGCCTAGGCCAGCGTCCGGTCACTCACAGTGACCTTCTTTCGCCTCGTTTTCTTCACCGAGTTGATCCACATCAACTCCAACTTCTTCTCCTTTGTAAATGTGCCAACACCACCAAGTGTACACCACCATGTGTATGCGTGTTAGTATTTTCACAATCATTTTCAAAGGATTAGCCACTCAACTTGCCACGTCACTCGATCATAGCAACGATGCAAAGTTAGATCACTCGAGTGGCACTAGATGACCGATATGCAAACAAGTTTGCCCCTCTTGATAGGACGGCCATCTATCCTAAACCCGGTCATAAACTTCTCTACATACCTATGACCGATGAAATGAAATACCCTAGGTTATACCTCTGCCTTGCGCATTCCATTCCATCTCCTCCAATGTCGATGCAACACATGCACCAACATGATCAACAATGATATGATCCACTTCATATCATCATGTGATCATATTGGTTCATCGATCTTGACTTCACTTGCTTTTCACCATTGCCTTCGTCCATCGGCGCCAAGTCTTGCTCAAGCTTCACCGCCACGCGGTCCATCGCTCCAAAGCCTCCAACTTGCCCTTCACGCTTGCAACCGGTCCATCAAGCCAAGTCATGTCTTGATCTTCTCCACCTTGATCACATGACTCAATATCATGTCTCATGTGCAATAAGCTGCTTCATCATCACATGTGTGAGCTTTCCAACATCTCTGAGCCATTTCCACCTCCATGGCATATGTTGCTCACACATATATACCTATGGACTAATCACCTGTTTATCTCACATAAATATAATTAGTCCACCTAGTGTTGTCACTCAATTACCAAAATCAAACAAGGACCTTTCAACAGGCCAATTGCTTGACCTCATCCCTCGATTCTGTGGAACCGGTTCGTCGGCAGGGCGAGCCACACCTCATCCCTTGATTCTACGGGACCGGTTCATCAGTAGCCGGAGAGGGAAGATGAGCAATGACACTGTGTATTGAAATCCAATTGTTGAAAATGTAAAGGCGTGACCTGCTGTATAACAAACGAAAGCATCGGTATAGTCGGAGTGCGTGAAGGCTGTAAATTACGGACAGAGATGATGGAGTTGGGGCAGCTAGAGTTGATGAGTGGCGATGGCGGCGTTCCCAGCAGATGATGACTGGCGAGATAGGTTATAGCCTCTGCATAGGTAAGGAATGCATCTGTTGGGTGACGTGTGATATTACGTGGGCGTTACGTGATTGTTGACCTAATTTTTGGGATGGATGGGGATCAAGTTCAGATTGTGAGCGTGGTTTCATGGATGGATGTTGATTAGGGTGAGATGGTGAGCGTGCGTGAGAACCACATTGTGAGCGTGAGAGTCGGAGGGCCACTTGTTGGCTTTGAAAAATATTACCAGGGGAGCACGGTGACCGGGAGACCCTTCGTGCTGTCAGTGGAGCGCGTGGAAAAATATTACCGGGGGAGCACGGCGATCAAGAGACCCCTCATGCTGCCAGTGGAGCGCGCGATCGAGAGACTCTTCTTGCTCCCGGATTGACGAGGACTTCTAGGCCATGTTTGGAATTTCTGCCGACTGTATTATTTTCTTGCACACGAGAAACCCCTTGTAAAACTTTTCCCTTGTAAATTTGCGTTTGGTCTACTTGAGTTATTTCTCAACTCTTAGCATGGCCACCTGTGCCGCTTAAGCCTAAACACCAAGCTCCAGCTGACGCTGAGGCTATGCATGGCCATGAACTCTGCCTAGGTACTGCCGAGCAGCCAAAAACCCCAGTCTCCATCCCATCTCTGTGCACTAGATCTTAACGATATAGACACTAGTAGCAGCACCATCTCTCTGCCATCCCCTGCTCCCTCGTCGCTATCGAGGCTCCACAACATGAGAAGAAAAGGAGATGGGCGGCGATGAGGTGATGGAGATTAGAAGCAATTCGAGGAATTTGCTGCAGATTTGGTCACCGTGGCCGTGGATTTGCTGATTTGGTCGATGTTCCTTGGATTTGCCCTTCAATGCTGCTAATTTGGTTGTCATTGTCGTAGATTCAGTTGTGTCAATCCTCACCGCCGCTCGCCATGGATTTGCCCGCTGTCACAACCGATGTCGATGTACTTGCGCATGTCATGGATCCACTAGTCGTAGTAGCCACCTCCAATGTGCTCTCCACGCCGAGGAATCAAGCTTTGAAACTATCGACTGCCGCTAAGGATGTTGCTGACGCGGGTTACCTCCGATGCGGACGAGACCTGAGTCAGGACAAGCCCGATAGTTGTCGTAATATTTTCTCCAGGCCTCTTCACATGACAATTTTCTTCCGCCGGTTTTAGCCCAATCTGAGGGTAATTTAAGTAGGCTCACAATTCATCCAAACAATATTTCCGAAACTTTGTTTAGACGTAGTTGGATTGACATCAATGCACATGTGTTAACGTGCATAAGACATTAGAGCAAAACTTAAATTAAAATTCACCCCACTCCACCACAACACATATAGACTTAGATGAATTGGACAGCATAAAAAAGGCAAGGTCCAAAATTACTCTTCCAAACATGTCCTTAGGCTAAAAAAATCAACGCTACCGGCAGTCTGGCCCACGGGTCCTTCTTTCCGGTACGGCCCAGCCGCGGCCCAACCCGTCAAGCAGCGGCAGTTCTATTCCTAACAAAAACTTACAAGCAACAAACGCTTCCTCAATCTAAAAAAATAAAATAAAAAATAAGAGCAACAAACACTTCTCCGTTCCTTTCTTCCTCCGCACTCCACCTTCGCCGGCGTCGCCATGGACGCCGACCTCGTGCAGCGCTGCCTCGAGGCCGGCGGCCGCGACTTCCTCCTCCACCATACCTCCTCTCCTCCCTCTCCGACCTCCGCCTCCGCCGCTGCATCCTCCTCCATCCTCCAATCCCTCCCCCTCCACGTGGTAAACCCTCTCCCTCTCGTCTCCTCTTCCTCTCATCATCCATTCCTCGATCTAATGTCCTAATCCCTTCCTCTACCTCTTTCCCCAGTCCTTCGACCGCGGGTACTACCTCCTCGTGAAGGCGATCCAGGAGCTGCGTGCGCGCAAGGACGGCCACGTCGTTACCGTCGGCATCGGCGGACCCACCGGCTCCGGCAAGACCAGGTATCGGCGGCGGCGTCATCCGTTCCCCTCGATTAATCGTGCCATTTTTTAGGGACGGTTGGTGATTTGTTGTTGCTAACTTGCTATTTGGTGGCTTTGTGCTGCGCAGCTTGGCTGAGAAGGTGGCGTTGGTGCTAGGGTGCGTCGTGATCGTCTCCATGGAGGACTACCGTACAGCAGCTGGTGGCGACGACGGCAGCAGCGACGTCGACGCCATCGATTTCGACGCACTTGCTAGCAACCTCCAGGTTGGGTCTCGGTCTTGCTCTTCACGACCCGTTGGGATTTGGGTGGGATTGGTTCGATGCTCACGAGCTGATTGCTTTAATGACGGGCCAGGGTCTGTTGAGAAATGGTGGGATTTAATGTTCTTGTCGATTGTAGCATTGATAGGGCTAATTAATTTTGGGTTGGGAGAGTGGACTTGTTTGCCGAAACAGAAGTGTACAATGTTTTTCTTTTTGCTATCAATTTCTTCCAGTCCTTTATGAATTTGAATTGAATTGTATAACCGTGTCCGCATAGGGTCACATTTGTTGAATTTGGGGTAAAAGGTTTTGCTATATGACTAGTTGACGATTACTTGGCAATTTAACAGCCTTTTGGACTTTGGTTATGATTCTCTAGTCATTGACTGCGAAGGGAAAAACAAATTGAACCTTTGCTTTTCAACTGTTAGCCAGCTGATAAATTGTGATTACATGCAATATTAGATCTTTGCGGTTTCCTTAGTAAGGCTGATCACACACAATGGTAATGAGGACATTTAGGCTTGAATATTTTCTTTTTCTGAAGCATTTTAGGGTTTCTTATTGTTAGGCGTGATAAGAACTGAAATTATCTGATAAGATAAATAAAGTGCTAACAGTGTTATCTTCGACGGGAACTCATGTGCATCATCACCAAATAAATAGTGGTGCCAGTATATGTAAAATCCAGTCCCCTTGGTTCTGATCTAATAGCCTGTGAATTTATAATGCTTCAAATCTCTTAATTAGTATATTGGAACATGGAAATATGTAGCTTGTGCAAGATTTGACATCCCCAACCCTACCATGGCTTTGTAATGTTTTGGCTTTTGAAAATGTCGGTAGACTGGCTACCCATGGTTTTGGTATTTTACAGTGATGGTTTGCCACTTGATCTTTAGGGCCCGTTTGGCACAGCTCTAGCTCCAAGATATGGCACCTCCCTGCCGTATCCGTGTTACATAGCCGAGATCTATGCTGCATCTATAGTTTGTAGATTAAATTAAAGTGGTTTAAATATTTTTATTTGATCTAAAACACAAATGAAATGAGTCATGTAAATGCACTTAACATGCCTGCAGCTCTAGATCTAGGATTTTCTAGAGCTACAGGTGACCAGGTCTAGGAAATCAGATTTCCTAGGGCTAGAGCTCTGCCACACAGGGACTTATATGCATAGTTGTAGATTTGTCCAAAGTTTGTAAAAGTAACGTTTGCTTTTGTTAGGGGACTTAGCACAATTGATTGGCTCAATATATCAGATGCTAATTGTGCAATTTTAATTGTATGCCATTTGTTTAGTTCAGGTGTTAATTGCACAAATTTTATTGATAACTTTCTGCCTATTTTTTGGTGTTGATTAGTGCCCTTATTGAGCAGGATCTTGTGAAGGGTAAAGATACAATGGTGCCACTAGTTGATTTTCAAGAGAAGAAACGCACTGGATGGAGACAACTGAGGATTTCTTCATCTGGAGTGGTGCAATATCTCAGCAATACATGCTATACTTCTACAAAATCTTTAACATGTCTTCTGATACAAGTTCTTCTAGGTGATTGTCGATGGTGCGTATGCTCTGCATTCAACGCTACGATCATTGCTTGATATCCGGGTTGCTGTGGTAAACATGATAATTGCTTACTTTCTATAAGTTACTTTTTTGAGACTTACATTCTCGCAGAACAATAATATTACCTGTTATGTAACCATACAAGTTGCATATGAGTTTCAGGTTGGTGGTGTTCATTTTAGTCTGCTTTCTAAAGTTCAGCATGATATTGGAGATTCTTGCTCATTGGACTATCTGATCGACAGTATATTTCCATTGTTTAGGAAGCACATTGAGCCAGACCTGCATCATGCACAAGTACTGCCTTTGTCTATGCATAGCTGTTATCTTCTTTAGATTTCTGAGTATCATTTGGTTCTTTGGTAATGATGTTTCCTAGTTATTTGCTGGTGCAGATTAGGATTGATAACAGCTTTGTCTGCTCATTTCGAGAACCGTACTACAAGCTAAAGTGCAAAAATGAGGTCAGCAAAGGATTACTGTTGATTAATAGTTTAATATAATACTCCCTCCGTCCACAAAAGGATGCAACTATTGGATTTGTGCAAGTCAAACTAGCTTAACTTTGACCAAGTTTATAGTGAATAGTATTAACATTTATGTCTCCAATTAGGTTTACTACGAAAATATATTTCATAATTAATTTAATGGTACTTATTTTGTATCATAAATGTTTGTACTTCTTTATATAACTTTGGTCAAACTTCAAATCATTTGACTCCTCGAAAAGTGAGAATTGCATCCTTTTGTGGACAGAGGAGAGTACTATTGTTAATATAAATATTCCTGTTTTTTTTTTCATGAAACATTCAATTACTTTGGTTTGATGATTTCTATTAATCTAATAGATTTGATTGGATGAAAGTTTATTTTTCATCTGTGGTGGTATTTTTCTTTTGATGTTGAATAATCATATGGTTCTTCCTTTTGAAATCAATGCTATTGTGTCTGCTTTCTCTCTTGTTAACCCTTGCACCAGTATTCTGATAACACTTCCTGCTATTTGGTTGGTAGTGCTAATATTATGCAACTAGCTTTAGTTAATAGTTAGTGTAGCACAACAAGAGGCAATACGGGGAAATGGGGAGCTGCAACTATGCCAGGTGCTGGCGCCAGCCAAGCTTATATAACGAACCTCATCTTCACATGATCACAATAATCAACAAATAATTAAGAATTTGCTTGCTATCCCAGTTAGTTAAGATTATTCCAGGTGTTGAGATTTGTGTATCCTATTCCTTAGACAGATTGCTGTAAGTAGCTACATGTTGGGGCCTTGCCACGATTTGAGAGGATGCATCAATTGCAATTAAGGAGGAATATCATATGGAGTATGTAATTATACTTTGCCCTGGAACCCTGGTGTACTCATGCTTCAGCATGCTCTGCCACTGGACAGCTCCAGGGTGACAACCTTGTGCCTCCCATTTGTATTTCGTGCTCCGGTCCCATGTCAGCCTAAGAGAACTGGCCAACCAGAAACCAGGTTGCACTTTGAAGTATCCCATCCCACCTAAGATTCCTTGTATCAGAAGTTCTTAACCTGAAAACCCTTCAGTCATTTCAAGAATGATACCTTACTCTATTGTGGGTACATGAATATGAAATCTATGGCTATTTTGTTCACCTTGACAGTAGAGTTTTGATTATGTATTGTTTTTCCTGTTTACTCCCTTCGCTAGTTTTGCCTGATCATTTGTGATTTTCATCATAAAATACTGCTGTTTAACTATTCAGTGGAAAACTGACATGATGTATTCTTTATATTGAAATATTAATTTGGGAGTGCTGCTTCTGCAGACATGCATTTAGTATTGTGGTGCTTTGTCTACGCATTATCAAATCGAACTGTAAATTGCAAATGCTAAATGTGCAAAACGTTGATCTTGGAGAGCACAGTGCTTTCAAAAAATTGTACATGTGGCCAATGAGTACTAGAGATGCGTAATTATGGACCCCATGTTACATTTAAATATTGGGTTTGAAGTCCTTGACTGAATTAGGGGGTTTTATGCATGCTCATATTTCAACATTATCATAATAGCAGCCTACATTTCATTTTGGACTGTTTTATTTGTTTATTTATCTTCATATTCCAGTATGAACTTATGTGATTTTTGACGTGGTACACAATTTGTAGCTATGGTTAGTTGGTTACTCATTCCATCTTTTTATATTCTTTGGTTTTTTAACCTTTTTGTGTTTTATTGTAGTCATCAGATGGCAAGAAGTTGTATTCTTTTGAACAAAATAAAGCAGAAACTGAGAAGTGAGTTCATGTTTCCTCTTCACCCTCTTAATTTATTTGTCCACTTGGCTGGAGTTGTTCAGAGAGTTTAAGGTTGTCAATATTGTGATATAGGTTGTAGGAGTGTACATTCCTGCAATTGTACAGTTTGGTGCCTTGGACTTAACCTAGATCGGTCAATGGATATGACCTTAATAGAATCATTAACTATTTGTGCTCAGGATTGTTATCATGTTTAATATCTGCTATTAATAGCTGATGGCTGCCTCCTAGGTTCCTGCCCAGCGTGCAAGAGACTCCTGAGATCTTGTGATCTCTTCCTTCCGCACCCTCTAATTTCCGCTGTCCTCCTTCCATGGCTCATGAGGCGTTATCTCCCACTGCCGCATCTGCTGCCGCTGCACAGGCTGAGCACGAGCAAGCCGCCACAATCGGGCGTGCGGCTGCCGCCGCCGCGGCCAAGGAGAAGGCCAACCTGGAGGAGGTCGCTGCGGTTGCTGCCCGTGCAATAGCTGCCACCCAGGAGCGCGTCCTTGCCACTCGAAGCAGAGCATGCCGCGACCGCCTCGCCCTCTGTTGCTGATGCCGCTACGCATGCCGCTAGCTGCCGCTGCTTGTGACCGCATGACCATGGCAAAGGCCACCCTAGAGGTAGCCGCCGCCGCTGCCACGCGTGTGGCCGCAGACGCACATGTAGTCGTCCGCGCTGCCCTCTAGACCCTTGAAGAGGAATATGCCGCCGCCACTGCTCTGGAATGTGCAGCTGCCGCGACTCGTGAGCGCGTTGCCCCATCTCGCCTAGATGATGCCGGGTGGATTACCAGCGCTGCCAGCAACGACGATGCCCGCGCACCATATCGACGTTGATGAAATTATGTGTCGAACCAGAGTCCAGCAAGGCGATGAATGTGTGGGGGCCTAACTTGGCGTAGACCTTGATGGATTGGTATCTCAGAGTGGGCACCCATGAGCACCATGAGGGAGGGGCTGGGTCCCTCGTGGAAGGTGCGAAGTCCCCCTTCGTATTATCTGAGTCCATGACCTCAATGATGAACAACTTTTTTGCAATGGTGTCCTATGATGTACCTAGGATCACAGTAGTAGCACAAGCCATTGGCCCGACGCTGGGAACTGCTCGCTGTGGATATTGTTGCGGCTGTTAGAGGTAGACACAGGTTTGGGGCTAGATATTTTCCATTATTTAGCCCTGCCACAAACCATGGCAGGTTGGGGATACATATAGAGTAGCATACTTGGTCCTTAAGAAAGGATTAAACATATCCCAACTTCTAAAGTTGATGCTATTGGGATAAGAAGATAAGGGTGCTGACACAACCACCAACTACTCTAGATAAGCACAAGAGTTATAGAGGTCTATCATTCTCCCCCTAAGTCTTGTGTGGTGCCTTCTGGGAATTTGAGCCATCCCAATCCTGGCGTGAAGCTCCTGGAACTTGACCTGCCGGCCTGGGTGTTGATGTAGCCGGCCTTGATGCTCCTTTCATCCAAGCAGCTTCTGATGAAGTGGTACTTGATCCTGATATGCTTGCTTCGCTCATGGAAGAAGGGGTTCTTCGCCAAGGCCAAGACGGACTTGCTGTCCACCCTGAGCTCCATTGCTTGTGCGGCTTTGCCAAGGAGATCGCCTAGCAGCCGAGCCAGCCAGAGCCTGAGTCGAAGCGGTAGTGGCAGCGATGTACTCCGCCTTGCAACTGACAGAGCCACCACCTGCTGCTTGACCGACTGTCAGCTGATCAGACACTTGCCAAGGAAGAACAGTGTCCCGCTGATGCTCTTGCTTGTGTTGATGTCGCCAGCGAGGTCGTTGTCACTATACCCCATGAAGTGCTCCGCGCTGGGGGCACCTCTGGTAGTGCAAGCCGTAGTCGGAGGTGCCCGCGACGTAGCGGAGGATCCTCTTGATGACCTGCTGATGCTCTGTCATTAGTCGCTGCATGAACCGACTAATTGGACCGGCGATCCTGAAGGGGTCAGTCGGGGGGTCTGCTTCGTTCGGGAACCATTGGACCCGAGGCTTAACATACCTGTATGTTAGGATCTTGTCATCAGCCACCGATCATGTCGTTGCTGGTCCCAGTGTTGAGGAAGATATGGGCGCGCGGCTCGTCGAGGTGGAGTAGAGCCGACTCGTCACCCTCCTGCGCTTGCATGACGTGTACCTGACCATCGCGCTTTGCCTACCGACAGTCCTTGGCTCAGTGGCCGGTCTTGCTGCAGTTCTTGCAGGTTTCGTCGTGGCTAGCCTTGCGCTCGCCGTCGGCGCCGTTAGGAGTGCCACCACGCGCCTTGCCCTGCTTGCGCGGCCGGCGCTTGCGGCTGACCGACGAACCCTAAGCCTCCCCTTTTTTCGCTCCCCCTGGCGGTTGAGCCACCGCTGCTCGGTGAAGAGAAGCTCGCCACTGATGGTGACCGGCTTTGAGGGAGGTAGCTGCTCGCGGTGGTCGACGGCCTTGAGGTGGTCCGTCACCTTGATCGTCAGCTCGGAGAAGTGCAGCAACGTACTTCTTGGGGACGACGCGGAGGAACTTGTCGATGGCTCTCTCCTCGTCGATGTCGTCGTCGCCATACCGCGCCAACTGCTGCGTTAGGGTGGAGAGACGAGAGCCATCGTCGATGTCCTCGCCTGGCTTGAAAGCTAGATTTTCCCACTCCTGACGCAGCTCCTGCAGCGTGGCTATGCGGGCGCGGTTGCTGCTGATGTGTGCGTCGATGATGGTGTCCTAGGCATCCTTGGCGGTCTCCTTGTTCGCGAGGGTGGGCGCCATCTCCGGCGGAATAGTAGCAAGAAGGGCCTCCAGCGCCCGCCGATCCTCGGTGAAGTTGGCGTCGCCGTACCGCACCGCGTCGCACATGTGCCGCGCCGGCATCTTTACCTTCATCACCATAGACCACTCTATGTAGTTGGTCTTGGTGAGCATGGACCATCCGTCGCCGGCGCTAGAATCCTTGACGACGGTCTGGACGATTGGAGGGGAACCGCGCCGGCCATGGCGACCACGACATTGGTCCGGGGAAGGGGAGGCGCGCCGCCTGTCAGGGCTCCGCGCACTAGAGTCCCGTCCGCCCTGCTCCCAGTCCTCCAAGTCGTGTCCGTACCGCGCCCGTGCCTCCCGCGCAGCAAAGTCCCTCTCTGCCTCCAGCTGCACCACTCGCTCCCGCTGTCGCTGGCCTCTAGCTCGCGCTTGACGCTTGGATCCTGCGCGCCTCGCGCGTTCACATCGCGTCTATCCCTCGGGTCGCGCGTCTGCGTTGCGGTCGCCTGTCTCGCATCCGCCTAGGCCGCCCGCATCGCGTTGCGGAGCAGCATCAGCCGCTGCCGCCGCCTCGTTGGCCGTCTCAGCGGCCCGCTCGGCTGCAAGCTCAGCGGCCGCGAGCCGCTTCGCCCGAGCAGCCACCGTGGCCCGGCCCTCCGCCTCCTGCTCCCGCCGCTCCGCCGTCTCAATGCGCGCTGCGTGCACGTCCGCCTCCCTGGCCGCGTGTGTGTCGTCCGCCGCAGGTCTCGTGTGGATGCCTGCCGGCGCCGCCCGCTGGAGGTAGTCGACTCATGGGAGGAGATGGAGTGTGTGCGGTTGGATCGGTGACTCATGACGACGGGATTGGTTGCTGCCGATGCGTGCGTCGACGATGGCATCCTAGGCATCCTTGGTGGTCATCCTCTGGCGGAACAGCAGCAAGAAGGGCCTCCATCGCCCTCCGATCCTCGGTGAAATCGGCGTCGCTGTACTGCACCGCGTCCCACATGTGTCGCGCCTGCATCTTCACTTTCACCACCATAGACCACTCGGTGTAGTTGGTCTTGGTGAGCATAGGCCATCCGCCGTCGGTGCCGGAATCCTTGACGACGGTCTGGACGATGGTAGGGGAACCGCACCGGCTATGGCGACTGCGGCGCTTGTACGGGGAAGGGGAGGCGCGCTGCCTGTGAGGGCTCCGCACGCCAGCGTCCCGTTCGCCTTGCTCCCAGTCGTCCAGGTCGCGTCCGTATTGCGCCCGTGCCTCCAGCACAGCGAAGTCCCACTCTGCCTCCAGCCGCACCGCCTGCTCCGCTGTCGCTGGGCCTCCAGCTCGCGCTTGACGCGTGGATCCTGCGCCCTTCGCGTCCGTCCCGCGCATGTCACGCGTCCGCGTCGCGGTCGCCCGCCTTGCATCCGCCTAGGCCGCCCGCATCACGTCGCAGAGCGGCAGCAGCCGCCACCGCCGCCTGAGCAGCTGCCGTGGCCTCCCTGGCCGTCTCAGCAGCTCGCTCAGCTGCAAGCTCGGCAGCCACGAGCCGCTCCGCCCGAGCAGCCACCGCCGCCCGGTCCGCCGCCTCCTGTTCTCGCTGTTTCGCCTTCTCGGTGCGCGCTACGTGCGCGTCCGCCTCCCTGGCCATGTGTGCGTCGTGCGCCGCTGGTCTCGTGCGGTTGCCTACCGGCGCCGGACGCTGGAGGTAGTCGACTCGTGGGAGATGGAGTGGGAGCGGCTGGACCGGTGACTCATGGCGACGGGATTGGGATGGGGTAAGGTAGAACCCATTGAACTTAGGCTCTAGATACCATTTGTTAGAGATAAACACAGGTTTGGGGCTATATTTTCCATTACTTAGCCTTGCCACAAACCATGGCAGGTTGGGGATACATATAGAGTAGCATATTTGTCCTTAAGAAAGGATTACAACATATTCCAACTACTAATGTAGATGCTATTAGGATAAGTAGATAAGGGTGCTGTCACAGCCACCAACTACTCTAGATAAGCACAAGAGTTATAAAGGTCTATCATTCTCCCCCTAAGTCTTGTGTGGTGCCTTCTAGGGAATTTGAGCTGTCCCAATCCTGGCGCGAAGCTCTTGGAACTTGACCCGCCCAAGGGACTTGGTGCGGAAGTCGGCGAGGTGGTCCTGGGTGTTGATGTAGCTGGCCTTGATGCTCCCCTCATCCAAGCAGCTTTGATGAAGTGGTACTTGATCCTGATATGCTTGCTGCGCTCATGGAAGACGGGGTTCTTCGCCAAGGCCAAGGCGGACTTGCTGTCCACCCTGAGCTCCACTGCTTGTGCGTCTCTGCCAAGGAGATCGCCCAGCAGCCGAGGCAGCCACAGAGCCTGAGTCGAAGCGGTAGTGGCAGCGATGTACTCCGCCTCGCAACTGGATAGAGCCACCACCTGCTGCTTAACCAACTGCCAGCTGATCAGACACTTGTCGAGGAAGAACAGCGTCCCGCTGGTGCTCTTGCTTGTGTCGATGTCGCCGGTGAGGTCGCTGTCGCTGTACCGATGAAGTGCTTCGCGCCGGGGCACATCGGGTAGTGCAAGCCGTAGTCGGAGGTGCCTGCGACGTAGCGAAGGATCCTTTTGACGGCCTGTTGATGCTCCGTCGTCGGTCGCTAGCGAACGCCAGGTTCGGCCTATTGATGCTCATACGTCGTGGCCAGCATGACGGCGTTGTTGAGGGTCTGCGGTAGACGAAGTGCAACATCGGTCTTGAGAGGATTCTGGAGCCTGGCCAGGAATAGCTGGACCTGATACGACTCCGTGAGTTCCGCGTCGTGGCACTCCAAGGTCAGGAACCGATCGGAGTAGTCGAGCACCGATCCCGTGCAACGGAGCGTGGCAATCTCTTTGGTCTTGGGCTGCCCTAAGCGCTGGAGAACAAGTTGTGCAAAGCAGCTCCACGATGGGGCATCTCCGGTGAACTCTAGCCGATAGTACCAGAGTTGGGCTGTGCCAGTCAGGGGCAGCGACTCATACCACACCTTGCGGTGTTACGGCATGTGTTGACCCCGGAAGAACGTCTTGCAACCGTTGAGCCAAGGGAGGATCCTCCTTGCCGTCGGACACCGGGAAATCCAGCTTGACCCTGGGATGGAAGCGAATGGTCATCGAGATCATTGTAGTCTTGTGCTGCGCGGCGAACGTAGTGGCCATCGCGTGCATCCTGCTACGGGTCCCAATGGTCGTGGTTGTCCCTAGGCTATGGGCGTAGTCGCAGGAGGCGGTGGCTAGCGCCCCAAGTCCTGCCTGCTGTCGTCGGACTCTGGCGTCGGGTAGACAGGGAGCTTGCCCTCACGGCGAGGGTGGTCTAGGCAGCTTACTGCAAGATTCAGTGCGTGGACTTGCTCGGCGGTCTTGAAGGCAGAGGCATGTAGCGTGATGACTTTCTCTGGAGGCCATCGAGTTTCTTGGCGAAGGGGATAAGTGGTTTGAGAGTGGTGAACTGGGTAGTATGGTCGGTGAGCTTGGCCACAACGTCCACGAGAGTTGTGGCCATCTGGTCAGCCGCGGCAGTGAGTAAGGTGTTGTCACCCATGGAGATGGAACCAGAGCTATCTGATAGCAGGTTGTCACAAGCAGAGGAAGGAGGATGATTGGTGCTGGGAATATGGCGTACTCCCGCGTCCCAAAATAAATGCAACTCAACAGTTTGAAATTTGTCTCCAAAAGAATGCTACTGAGACCTGCCTGTCAAAAGATGACGCAGCATCCGGATGCTTCTCGTCCACACAAACCACAACACTGAAAAAAACAGCCGGCAACTGGAATGTACTAGCTGGAATGAGGAAAGGATGGGGCTGATATTTACAGAGGAAGGGGCATTTTTGTAATTTTGCACCTAGCATTGGTTTGTGTGCCCAACCCTAGAATTGCATTTAATCTGGGACAGAGGGAGTAGCTTATAATCAAATGCAGTGATAGGACGCGGCCTTGGACCTCGACGTTGCGGCGGAGCAATGGTGGAACTCAACGTCGCGCTGAGAAGGCAGCGCCAAGAGGAACTAGAGATAGATCAATCTAATGCCTAACTAACTATGCTGGATCAGAGGCTTATATTCTACCCATGTCCAGCCACACAAAGGGCTAACCGGATCTGTTACACCTAAAAATATGACAGGTTTTCATCCAAAGGATTCGTGCGCCCGCCTAAAACTATACGGAATCGTCTACACTCCACTCTGCTCCGTTGATCCCCCGATATGCAATATGAAACCGTACTGTGCATGCCCGCATGCAAACATGCAAACCTACGACTTGCATGCCCACACGTCACGCATTGGAAGACTTGATAAAGGCTGCCCACCACTTAGTCACGTTGCGAAAGACCTGAAGATGGACGTTCTTGGGCTCGACATCAGCCACAAACTCATCGGCAGATGGCGACAAGAAGAAGCGGGCAACACGGAGGCCGGCGTCCAGCCTTTTTTTTCTGGAATACGAAGGAGAGCTGCGTATCATTGCATTAAGATAGGGAAAAAAAAGGAAGGCTCAAGATAGCCAATACAAAACTCACAGCACACCACACACACCTCAGGATTTTTCTGTTACAAACGCCCCTGTTCATAATAAGAAACGACCAAAACCTCAACTATAGGAGCCTCGTGTGCCTCCGTCGCACCGCCAGCAGCTTCATCACGCCGCCGCACGTCAACATCCAACCTGTTGGTGAGGCCTGACATGCGTAGCACTTGCATGGGCGCTTGAGCAGGAGGAGCGCGCACATGGTGATGCGGCGGTCAGTGTCGGGAGGAGCTCCACGAGAACGTAGACATAGCCCACCTCCATGGCCTTGGCGCGCGAGCGCGCTGTGACGTCGAGGAGCACGTCTAGCGCGGGGCATCTCAGCCTCGCTGAAGCATCATCGGACAGGAGCTCGAGGGACTTGATCAAGTTCTCGACGTGTACACCAGGCCGTCAAACGGAGACTGTGTCGATCGCGAAACCGAGACCGTCCCGCGCCGTCAAACTGAGATTGTGTCGATCGCGAAACAGAGGCCGCTGCGCCTGTCAAATTCCCAGACCCCACTCATGTGGGAGCCTCCAGCACTGGGTCTGCCCTTTTTTTATTGTTTTTTGGAAATACTTGAACACTGTCAAATTTAAATTATCGTGGTACTATTTTCCTCCGGTGCAACGCACGGGCATGATTCTAGTAAATAAAACAAACTAAAAGCAAATCTATCTATCGTATGTGATCGTATCTCTAGGCAGGCATTTGCGTATCGTCCTTCTTGTTACATTGGCCGTATTGAAGGCCCCACATGACTGTTTTCTAATGTATTCCCGACTCCAAACTAACTTAGCATTAATATACAATTTGGTGATACCTCTACTCTTTTAGTTTAATTTTGTTGCACATTGCATTTCTGTTTTTTTTTTCTTTTAAGGAGAAAAAAATCTCAGACTTATATGGGGTAGCACATGTTCACATTCACAATCAATGCTGTAGACTGTAACTGAAAATGCATGTGCAAAAAATCCATGTTTTCAATTTTCATTTAAAATATATATGATTTTAAGTCTGGCAGGATCATAATTTTATGATTGATTACAGTCAAATGGTAAAGATACTACCTAGATCAGGATCCTGACAGCCTTTTTGAAGTTCCCTTGTACCTTCATCAAGGTTTTTAGTTTGTGACAACTGTTTTTTCAATTATTCCAGCTTTATTGAGATGTACCTTAGGCCACCTTTTGCTTCTGAAGAAATGAAGATTGATGATTGGATTAAGGTTAGGCAATGTGGAATAAGATACTACCTATCTCTCGGAGACCAGAGGATTGTTGACAAGTACTTCATAATCCGTCCAAAAGCTGAGTTTGAGGTATACACTGATCTTCAAAGGATCTGTTTTGTGTTTCCTTAAGTTGCTGAGTACTGAAAACTTCCATTGGTTTGTCATTCTGGCAAAAGAATAGGTGTGGCTTACTAAGGTGAAACAGTATGTACTGCCAGTGTTTAGAGCACAGTGCAAACTAACAGTATCTTCACTCAGGCATGCAATAGATGTTAGGCTATTTTCCTCAAATATGCAGGAGAGCTGTTACATGCGCAACAACACATACTCAAAACTATGGTTACATTAGTGCCCTGGAAATAAAATGAATTATCACATCTAGTAGGCATTGAGGAACTTCACAGCAAGCTGTGCTTGCCCTTTGTATACTTGGTGATGCTTTGTGGAAAATGCAACTGTTGCCTTCTTTTCATATCAACCAAAAGCTCCCAGCGTTATTGGAATGAGCACAGGGCTTTGACTTGTAACAGGGGGAGACTGAGGGCCAGAGTCAAGCCCTGATTGCTCTGTGCTTGGTAGAGGAGATTGAGGGAAATAGATTTGAAAGCAATGGTAATACACGAGAGAACAGTAGATTGATTAGGGCCTGTAGAGTACAGGGGCATATACAGGCAAGGATGATCTACGGTTGGTTTATAAAAGGTATGACTAATGTCAGATATCCTTGCCTATTATGTCTAATGATCAAGCTATAGAAAACCATGGCGGGCTCAAGGCCCAGATGCGTACAACCGTGAGCAGCCCGAATCAAGTCGTTGCGAGCCTCTAGGAAGGTGGGGATGGGACGCCTAAACTGAAGGTGCATGCCAATAGAGAGGCAAAGTGCTCGTTGAGGCCACGGACGACGTTGAGGATGGTGTGCGGTCCTCTGAGATCAGCAAGGGTGTCTGCCATGTTCTTGAACTTACTGTTGGAGTATGAGAGTATGAGTATATTAGGCCCATGAGGCCCATGTATGACTAATATATATTGCTACCCTTCTAGGGTTAGCCTAGCAATGGATTCTCACAACTCTAGCATGGTATCAGACTAGGTTTTCTTCTCCCCAACCAGCAGCGGGCCGGGCCGGCTTGACCTCTTCTTGCCGCCGCCATGGCTGGCCGCCGCCTCCCCCCCCTCCCCCACCTACTTCCTGGCCTTCCCTCCCTTCCCTACCCCTCCTCCTGGCCCCGTAGCCTGCAGCATGGATGCATTCGCTTGCCGCTATTCACTGCATGGGCAAGTATGTGTGGTAACTTTCTTGCCACGCCTGTGGTGTGGCAAGGCAGGGTCCAACCCCCTTGTGCTGTGCATGTGTGGTGGTCCTGGCCGCCCTTGGCATGTGTGGCCTTGGCTGGCCTTGGCCGCTTTGCCGCTGCACTAGGGCTAGGTGGCTGAGTGTGGAGTATAACCCCCTGCTGCTGCTGCTGCTGCCAGCTATGGGCGCTGGGGAGAACACGAGCCTTTCTTCTTCCCGCTCCTTCCTCTCGCCACCCCTTGCCCTCTCCAGACGGCAGGGCTAACTCCGCTCTCGCCGCCGCCCTCGTGGTTGCTCGGTCATTCTTCTTCTGCGGACAGCCCGAGCCAGTGCGGGGCCGCCCTCGCTTTGGGCCTTGAGCGCTTTGGTGCTGGCTGATGCCCTGCCCGCCAGATCGGCCGAGGCGGAGCAGCTCTCCTCCTCCCTACCTCCTACGACACCGCTGCCACCTCAGCTCGGCAGGTCGCTGCTGGCGTCTCATCGCCGCGGTCATCAGCACGACCGGCCGACCAAGACGCGTGGCTCAGCTCCACTACCAGGCCGGGGGTGTCCAGAACATCCGACTCCTCGTCCCGGTCGTCCTCGAGCCTGAGTCGCCCTCTTACGCCCGCTGGAGGGACCTGGTCCTCCTCACCCTCCGCCGCTACGCCCTCGACGACCACGTCCTAGTCGACGCCTCGGTCGTGCCAGAAACCCATCGTCGTGCTGCGCCTTGACGTCGTCCTCTCCTGGATCCTCGGGGCGATCTCCTTGGACCTCCACGACCTCGTCGCAACTTCTGCTTGGACGCTTTCCGGGCTTGGCTTGCGCTCGAGGCGATTTACGGGCAATGCAGAAGCCGGGCCCTGCGTCTCGATCGAAGCTTCGCACCTTCGTCTGTGGTGACCTCTCCGTTGGCGAGTTCTGCGGGCGCATGAAGAGCATGGCGGACTCCCTCGGCGACCTTGGGCGGCCCGTGGAGGACCGCGATTCTCGGTCCTCAACGTCCTCCGCGGGCTCGAAGGATCCGCTTCGCCCACCTCCGGACGTGGATCACCCGCAGAGGCCCTTTCCTCCTCCTTCCTGCAGTCCGTGGCGACCTTGTCATGGAGGAGCTCACTCTGAGGCGTCGGCCCAGGTCCACCTCCGCGCCCGGTCCTCGTCTTCCTCGACCGCCTGGCCGCTACTCTCCCGGCGGCGTTCGTTCGCTCCACCGCCGTCGTCGCTTCTTGGTTCTCTCCCCCGGCCGAAGGGGGGGGGGGGCGTGTGGGCATTGCCGCCGCGGAGGAGGACGTGGGGGCCACGGGGGCCACCAAACACCGGTCCCTCCCGGGAGCCACCAGTCGCCCGCGACTCCACGGGGTGCACCCTGGCCCTCTTTCCACAACCCGTGGTCGGGGCGCATCTCCATGTGGCCCTTCCTGGCTCCAGGCGGAGAGCCTCGCCCACCAGCCGGCCTTGCTCACTTGTCTGCGTGGGCTCCACCTCCCGGCGCATCTTCGTGGGTGACACCTCCCGACACCTCGCCGGGCACTGTCGGTTGAACCCGGCCTTGGCAGATCCTTCAAACACCATGGCCTCGACACCACCTGCCGGTCCCCGATGGATCGCCGACTGGGTGCCACTTACCACACTACCTGGACACGGTATACTCTCCTCTATTTACCCTCCTTCCTCTCATCCTTTGTCCATCATGGTCGCGAATGGTTCGTGTCTTCCGATTCACGTCAAGTGGGGTGCTGCGCGGCACTCATGGTTCCTTTTCGTCTTCCCGACATTCTTGTTGCACCCTCTATGGTTCACAACCTTCTTTCTATTAAATGCGTTTCTGGTGACAATTCACATTCATTGAATTTGACTCTTACGGTCTTTATTGTAAAGGATTTGGCTTCCCGGCGTCCTCTTCTCCGATGTGACAAAGACGGGACCCCTTTACACCCTTCGGTTTCCGGCGCTCACTTTCTCTCTTCGTCGCCGTCTACTTTGTCGATTGCCTTCGCCGCCACTCCTTCCTCCACCACTTGGCACCGTCGCCTCGGCCATCTGGACGTGATGCTCGACGCAGTGGCTTAGTCGCAGATTCGACATTGGTTGTACTCGGGCTCACGATGAGCACTTGTGTCATGCGTATACCGGTGGGCCGTCATGTTCGTCTCTCCTTTTGTTCTTCTTCTTCACATACTACGCATGTGTTTGATCTTGTACACTGCGACCTATGGACATCTCCTGTCATCAGCATTTCTGGGTATAAATACTATCTTATGGTGGTTGACGATTTCTCACATTATTCGTGGACTTTCCCTTTGCGTGCAAAGTCGGATACCTTCACCACTCTTCTCCACTTTTCGCACTGGGTGTCTACTCGTTCGGCCTTACCATCAAGGCCGCCCCGGTGTGACAATGGCCGTGAGTTCGATAACGGTACCTCCCGTGCCTTCTTCCTCTCTCAAGGTGTCCAGCTGCGCATGTCTTGCCCGTATACCTCCTCCCAGAACGGCAAGGCCGAGCGCATGATTCGCACCACGAATGACACCATGCGCACCCTTCTGCTCCAGGCGTTGCTTCCTGCTCGCTTCTGGGCAGAGAGTCTGCACACCTCCACCTATCTCCTTAACCGCCTACCTTCCACGCTGCTGCTGGGCTGGCTCCCACACACACCACGCTCTCTTGGTACCCCTCCTCGGTATGACCACCTTCGTGTCTTGGTGTGCATGTTACCCTAACACCACCGCCATCGCTCCCCACAAGTGGCTCCCGTTCCGCTCTGTGTGTCTTCCTTGGGTACTCCCGGATCACAAAGGGTACTGGGGTGCTTTGACCTCACCTCCCGTCGGGTCCTCATCTCTCGCCATGTGGTGTTTGATGAGTCTGTCTTTTCCCTTCTCCACCACCACCACACCACCTCCCACCCCGATCCCGACACCTTCTCTCTGTTTTCCCCATCGACACGGTGGTCCAAAGCCACTTTACCATTGTCTCCTGCGGGTAATGCTTCCCCGTGCCCCTCTGGGCCCGTGCCCCCCCCGCCGCCCACTGTGGCGCCCCGCCCTGCGCCTGCAGGTCCGGAGGCATCACCCTCCGAGTCGCACCGCCCTACGTCCCGCCGCTGGTCAGGGGACGCCGCTGTCGCACCTCTGCGCGTTTCGCCACCGGTGCACGTCTACCGGGCGTGTGTGCAAAGCGGTATCACGCCTCCGGTACCACCGGCCCCCCTCTCCACTGGTGACGCCTACACCACCGGTGGCCCCCTCTCCGCCGGCGACCCTACACCGCCGCCGCCGCCGTCTCAAAGCTGCCCGTGTCGTGTCGCGGTGTACCACCCGCCACTCCTTCACCGACACCCGCGGCATGTTCACCCTATGGTGACGCGACTGTGGTGGTACCCTGCGCCCCGGGCTCTCGCGACGATGCCCGACGACCCGCAGATCTCTCTCTGTACCCTCTTCCGTTCGCGACGCCTTTGCCGGACCCTCATTGGCGCCAGCATGATGGAAGAGGAGTACGCGGCTCTCCTCGTCAACCGGACATGGGATCGGTGCCCCGTCCACCGGATCCAACGTCGTCACGGCAAGTGGATCTCGGACACACTGGCGGCGGCCGATGGTACCCTTGAGAGGTACAAGGCTCATTTGGGTTCTCCGGTTTCACTCGGCGCCACAGAGTCGATTATGATGAGACTTTCGATCCGTGTGGAAGCCGGCCACCAGACGCACAATGGTCTCCACGGCTCTCGGTCGCTCTTGGCCGTGTGCAATTTGGGCGTCAAGAATGCTTTTCTCCACGGACTCTCACCGAGACAAGATATCTGCAGCCCGGCCGGTGGGTTTGTTGACTCTTCTCGTCCGGACATGGTCTGCCGGCTCAACAAGTCTCTCTCTACGGCCTCAAGCGGCCCCCAGGCGTGGTACTCTCGGTTCTTTGCTTTCCTCTCGACACTTTGGGGTTTGTGGAGGCCAAGTCGAGATCGCCCCTGTTTATCTATCATCATGGAGCCGAGGCGCCCTCTCTCGCTGCTTCACGTTGATGATATTGTCCTCACTGACCTCCGGTCCGTCCTTACTCAACCGTGTCATCGCCTCTCTTTGCCAGGAGTTTGCTATGAAGGATCTTGGTGTGCTCCACCACTTCCTGGGGGTCCTTTGTTGAGCCTCGCCCCACCGGCCTTCTCCTTCACCGGTGGCGGTACACTCTTGATATCTGAGCGTCTTTGGGATGACTAATCGCAAGCCGCTCTACTCCAGTTGACACATTGTGGCAAGCCGTCGGAGGTCGTGGGAACCACCGCAAGGCGAGACCCCATCGCCACGGAGTCTTGCAGGTGCCCTTGATTACCTCACCTTCACCAAAGCCGGACATCACCTATGCGGTCTGGCAGATATGCCTTCACATGCATGATCCCGAGAGCCTCACCTCACTGCGCTCAAGCGCCTCCTCCGCTACCTCCGCTGCGACTGCCTTGATCGACCTCGGCTTACTCCTTGGTGGTCTTCTCTCCACCGAGCTCGCTGTCTACACCGACGCCTTGGTTGGCCGGTGTCCGGACACTTGGCGCTCTACCTCCGGCCTCTGTTTGTTTTTCTGGCGGCAACCGGTGGTGTCTGGTCGCCCAAGCGCCCACCTGGTGGTCTTCCGATCCGATCTTAGGCGGAGTACCGAGTTGTCGCTAACGGCGTGGTGAGGCCTCTGGCTCCGACGACTCCTTGCCGAGCTCCACAGCCCTCTCTCCGAGCACGCTGGCTCATGCGACAACGTCAATGCGGTGTACCTCTCCACCAACCCCGTGCAGCACCAACGGACCAAGCATGTGGAGATCGACCTACACTTTGTCCGTGATCGGGTTGCCATCGGCGATGTTCGGGTCCTCCACGTCCCGACCACCTCCCAGTTTGCCGACATCTTCACCAAGGGCCTCCCGTCATCGACCTTCACCGAGTTTCGCTCCAGCCTCAACATCATTGGTGGCTAGTTGCGTCTGTGGGGGGGCTCGTGTGTGTGCTTCTTTTAATGTCCAGTCTGTAACTCCGCTGCGCCGGTAGTTTAGACTGCGGGGGGGTGTTGGAGTATGAGAGTATGAGTATATTAGGCCCATGAGGCCCATGTATGACTAATATATATTGCTACCCTTCTAGGGTTAGCCTAGCAATGGATTCTCACAACTCTAGCACTTACAACAGTAGTCGGTGATGGAGAGGTCGCCTTGGACAAAGTTTTGAAAGGTGGTGTCGAGGTAGAGGGCGCGCTGTTCGCGATTGGCAAGGAATTGGTGTTCCAGGGCAAGCCAGACGGCACGTGCGGTGTGCCCAGACGATCTCCTTGAGGTTGCTGGAGATGTTGCCATAGAGTCCGTAGAGCCACGACAGGACAACACAGTTCATGCGTGCTCAGTCTAGGAAGGTATGATCGGTAGCATCATCAAGGACGTGGCAGTACTTCCCGAGGATGAGAAGGATCTGACTGTGCCAGCGGGTGTAGTTGTTGGAGTCGATGTCGAGGACAGCTGGGATGAGGCTGCTTATGTTCTGCACGTTGACAGCTTGAGCGTGTGTTAGCATGTTTACTGCTTCCTTTATTACTAGCTGGCTGACGCCTAGGAACCTCCCCTGGCTGTCACCTATTTACTCCCCCTCTTTACTGCTAGAATTTACTTCTCTTTACTGTTAGACGGCTGATGCCTGGGAATCTTCCCTGGTTGTCGCCTGTGTGCTTCCCCCTCTCTCTCTTGTGTTAGTCTAGCTCCTATATAAATCCCTGCAATCTGGTTTACTCAATATGAATGAATACAAGAGCTAGTTCATCCTCTATCAGCGTGCAGTTGATGAATTCTAAAGCAGTGGAATTTGTAAATCTGAAAGTGGAAATACTACTATAAGTATTACATATTACTCCCTCCATTCCAAATTATTATAAGACGTTTTGGTTTTCTAGATACATTGCTTTTATTATGTATCTAGACGTAGTGTATATCTAAGTGCATAGCAAAAGCTATGTATCTTGAAAAGCCAAAATGTCTTATAATTTGGAATGGAGTACATATTATCATAGAAGCTTGTTTGTGCTGCAAACCTGCAAAATATTGGTAGCAAATGATCTTGATTTATTTGAGAACAACACTAAAACTCAAATATTCTTTTGTATCTTCTACATTATTACACTCCTTAAGATGAAATGTTTATATTACATTTAAATCTCTCCCAACTAGCAAGTGTTTTTCATAGTTCAATTAGGTGAAGCCCTCCTATAATGAAGAGTTAAATTGTTTCATAGGAGCACTCTGTATCGCTTAAAAATTGCAGCAACGTGATGAGATGTTCTGAACGTGCTGCATGTTTCTGAATTATTTCAGGTTGGACGAACAACTCTTGGAGGATTGTTGGCCTTGGGGTACAGTGTTGTTGTTAGCTTTAAGCGTACATGCACATCTGTCAATAGAGATCAATTACTGATAGCGGCAGAGACCATTGACACCCTAAACGAGACCTTTTTGGTATTAAAAGGTCCAAGTAGAAAGGTATACATTCTTCTATGCTGGGTGATGAGTTATGACTCAGTTGTGCTTTTTGGTGCTCTTGATTTTTTCTGGATTCTCAGGAATTTTTAAGAGATCAAACATGATGTCCATTCTTGGGTTTTGCCACATCTAGCATGTCATGGTCATCGTTGAATCTGATTAATGCTAACTTTTGTCTTGTGCTAAAATTGTTCTATTTCGTCCTTGAAATTCATAATTCTTGAATTTGGGTAATGTCTGCCTTTTGGCTTCAAATATTTAGGGTGGCTTACGGTGTTCTTATAACTAGTCAGTATTCCCATAGTGCATATTATCACCTTTCATCTAAAGCATTTGATGACTGAGTTTGACAATTGTGTACTTCAACTATTTGTTATACATGTTTACTTCTAGGAACCTTATGAAATTCTAACTATTCAGGTACCTAGAGTTCACAATGTTTAGGCTATAGGATCTTTTATGCTGTGAATTTAATAGAGGTATGAAATTGAAAGATTGTTGCTCTTAATTCCAAGAGAAAGATATATATATGATTATGAATTCTGAACGATGTCCTGTTTTCTTTTTATGTTTGTTGTGAACTTGTGATTGAACCTTGGTTAAAGTTTGATAATTTAACTGACTTACATAATTTAGATTGTTGTAGTTGAGGCTTCAAAGCTTGGTATAATTTAACTGATTTCTTTGTATGTTTGTTGTGAACTTGTTATTGAGCCTTGGTTAAAGTTTGATAATTTAACTGACTTACATAATTTAGATTGTTGCAGCAGAGGCTTCAAAGCTTGGTATAAAGGGACCATGGATCACAAAGTCATACTTAGAAATGATCTTGGAGAGCAAAGGTATAATATCTTGTATTCCCTTAGTTTGCAACCGGACCTTCTAGCTAATAAGTTCCTCATTGATCTTAGGGGTTCCACGACTTAATACACCACCACCAGTATCAAGCACACTGCTAACTGAAAGTCAAGAAAAGAAAATTGCTGCACCTAAACCTATTCGTGTTTCTGCTGAAAACATTACAAATCTTGATGACTTGATGCAACCATGGACGAGATCTCCGCCCAAAAAGTTGGAACAGGAACATGTTTTGGCAAAATGGCAGTTTATCCCAGGTTGTTAACTTTAACTTTGTATTGGAATTTCGTGAAACTGTTTCCATGGAAAGAAAAGTAGAATAGCTTAGGACCACAGAATCCAATGTATAGTATGATGATTATGTACTACATGTTTTCAGATTCTTCTTCAAGAAGTAACATCCAGCTAGCTCCTCTGCCAGATTCTTATGACCTGGATAGGGGCCTTCTCCTATCAGTTCAAGCAATTCAGGTAAATGTTGCCATGAGTCCTATGCATTGTTAGCTTGTATACATATTTAATAGATATCTCATTAAACGTGTATCTTGTTATCTGTCAGGCATTGTTGGAGAACAAAGGATACCCTGTCATTGTTGGGATTGGTAATGCTTCCACCCTTTCCTTTTCTAACATAGTGGAACATGTTTAGTATTTAGACTGAAGTTGTAGACCAAACATCTACCTTGCAGTACTTGATAGGTAAAAAAGCTATACCTGATTCTTCTGTCTTTGAAACCATTCAGTTGGTCTTAGAAATCCAAATAACCTAGCAATTTCATATTCTCATATTCACTCGGAATGTAGTCCTACTGAGTCTGTCAGTATCCTAATTGAATGGATATGCAGGGACCATAGCCTTTTTTACTGGAAAACGACGAAAACTCTAGACAGTCATACAGTTATGAGGACAGAAATGTTCTTGTTCTGAGTGTGAGTGGTGCATACTTGGATAGACTATTAGATGTAGCCAGAACTGCATTTTTATCACTGTATACTTTTGAGAATTGGGTTGTCCAAGTATTTGTATCATTGCTGGGCTTATTACTTTTGTGTTCCTGTTGTGATTACGTATCATGCTGTCTTGGTGTCGATTTGAATGTAGATTCGATGTATACATTGATTATGAACAGTGATGGTAACTCTTGGGGTATTCCTAGTGTGGTGAAAAAGGACCTTAAGGCTGAGCAGGCACCTTTTAGGGGATACATTATACTCTAGACATCATTCTTAGCCATGAAAAACTAAAGACCTACCTCTAAGCTTGAGACCTGACCACAATTAACAAAATTTGCAACAAATTGCACTGTTTCTTGTTGTCAGACATTGCCCATGGGAGAGAATGAGGATGATGCTATGTGTTGTTTCCCACCTCGGGAGAGAAGTAGAAAAGAGGGGGTAAACGATGCAATGGGAAGGCCGCCAGAGTGAAAAGTGGGGGACTAGATGAGGATGTTGCCCCATGGAGTGGAGGGTCATCGATATCTGCCAAGCTGACATGACATTTCACCCCAGCTTTCCTCCTCACCCAATCCCTCCTTCCCTGTACACCACATATTGACTCTAGGCGTCCTGGATCTAAACGATGGGTCCTGTGATTAGTGGCACTATGTGTTAGTCGCTGAATTCTCACTCTTGGTAGTAGGAGAATTCTTACTCTCATCGAGAGAGGATGACACTAGGAGTTGGGGCAATTTTCTTGTCTATTTCTCACACAAGCTCACACAAATGCCATACCAACCTGAGGGGTTGGGGTTACATATTTATAGGCTGCTAGCCAGCCAAGCATATGCCAAGATGCTAGTCTAAGATGCTAGTCTAAGATGCTAATATGCTGTCCTAGCTAAGATGCTGTCCTCTAGTCTAAGATGTTGTCCTCTAAGATGCTGTCCTCTAGTCTAAGATGCTGTCCTAAAAGCAGAAAAACAGCCACAAGGACCATGTGAGTAACAACAGCCCCACAAAGACCAGCCACACATGACTTATCCATCATTCTCCCCCTAAGTCTTGTGCGTCATCTTGTGGGAGAGTTGAACCATCCCGGTCCTGGAGCAGAGCTCAAGGAACTTGATCCTCCCAAGGGGCTTGGTGAGCAGGTCCGCAAGCTAGTCCTTGGTGTTGATGTAGTTCGCCTTGATGCTCCCTTCCTCCAAACAAATGACCTCGGATGAAGTGGTACCTCACCCGGATGTGCTTTGTTGCGTTCGTGGAACACGGGGTTCTTTGCCGGGGGGGGCAGGCGGACTTGTTTGTCCACCACAGAGCTCCACCGCTCTAGTGTCTCTGCCGAGGAGATCACCAAGCGATCGAGCGAGCCAGGCGCTGAGTCGAAGCGGTGGAGGCCGCTATGTACTCGGCCTCGCGGTGGTGGATGAGGCCACCCTGGCCGCTTGACCGATTGCCCATTAACGAGGCACTTGCCGAGGAAGAAAAGGATCCTTCGTGCTCTTCTTTGGTGTCGATGTCGCGCGGCGTGGTTGTTGTCGGCTGTACCCAGACGAGTGTGTGTCGCCCCAGGACACCTCGGGTAGTAGAGGCCGTGGTCGAGAGTCCCATAACGTAGCGGATGATCCTCTCTTCATACTGCTTTGGTGCTCCGTCGTCGTCGGTCATTTGCATGAACCGACTAACGAGCCGACGGAGAATGCCAAGTCCGGCCGTGTGTGGGCGAGGTAGTGAAGGCTCCCCACAAGGCGCCGGTGCTTGTGAAGCGTCCACCTCCTCCGTCGTCTTTGTCGCGGCTCGACCTTGACCTCTCCTCCATCGGAGTGAGAGAGTGGGTTGCGTCGGTGAGCCCAGCTAGCTCAACGACGCGCTTGGCGTGGGATGTCTGTCAAGCGTGATCCGGAGTCATCTGGTGCACCTCGATTCCCGTGTAGAAGGAGAGGCCCCTGGGTCACTCATCCGGAAGGTGGCCTTCATCTCTTCCTTGAATGCCGCCACCTCCGCATCCTTGGTGCCGGTGATCACCAAGTCGTCGACGAGACACCCACCGCCAGGCATTTCCTCCATTGCCCCGTCGGTAGATGGTCGCCTCGTGCGGGCTTTGCTCAAGCCCATCCCTTTAGCGTGGAATCCAACTTGGCATTCCACGCCCTCGCGCTTCGCCGCAAGCCATAGAGGGCCTTGCGCAGTGAGCACCTGCCCTCCTTGTCGGGGATCGCAAACCCCCTGTGGTGTGCGGTGCATGCGTGAGACCTCCTCCTTCAAGTCGCCGTTAAGGGAACGCCGACTTGGCGTCCATATGGTGAACACGCCCGACCCTCCTAGGCGCTTAGCGCGAAGGAGGAGTCGCGACGGACTCCATCCGTGCCACGCACGGAACAAAAAGCGTCGTCGAAGTCGACCCTCCCTGCCGCACGAAACCTCGTGCCACCAAGCGAGCCTTGTGCTTGACGATGGCGCCCGGCTTCATCCCTCTTCAACTTGTACACCCACTTAAGGGTGATCGCGCGGTGACCACGAGGAAGGTCAAGAAGCTTCCAGTCGCGGTTCTTCTCAACCGCATCCATCTCAATCGCATCGCATGGCGCGCCATGCGCGTGTGTCTCTCGACCTCCGCAAACGACCGAGGCTCGCCGTAAATCACACGCAAGGTGCAAGCTGCGCCTCCGTGTCGTGAGGCACCGGTCCGTGACCGGTGGTCGCCGAGAAGGTTCTCCACCGTCTGACGGTGCACCGCAGAACGGCTCACCGTCGTGGTGCTGGCGTCCGACGCGCTCCTCGTCGTGAGAGAGCGGAGTAGCGAAGCTCAACCGGGCCGTGCTCGACATTTAGTGGTGGTGGGGTAGACGTGCGGAGTGGTGTGCTGTCGGTCTTGGAGTGCGTGGCGTTGCTTACCGTGGTGGAGCGGTGAAGAAGCTCATCGCAGCCGAGGTCTGGCCGGAGAGCGTGGTCTTTGTCGAGTAGCAAAGTGCGGGGTCGGTGGAGGCTCGGAGGCCGGGGTAGACGCGCGCTTCGCCAAGAAGAACCGCCTACTCCCCGGCTCCCTCGAAGTGGACGTACTCGATAGTGAAGTCGTCAGACGTCGGAGCCGAGCCGTCGCCCATCGCCTTGTCCCACGCCCATCCTCGCTTTTTCGTCGAACAACGCTGGCGTCATGGCGCGCGCGCGCACGCTGTGTCTTGGTCGAGGATGCGGTAGGCTTCGAGCCCTCGCGTAGCCGGCGATGAACACTCCGAAGTGCTCCTATCGTCGAGCTTGCTTGATGTGGCCAAGCTCCTTGGCGAATGCGAGGCGGTAGAAGACCCGCAAGTGGGAGACCGCCGGCTTGCGCCCATGCCAAGCCTCGTCGGCGTCCCCGCCGTCGAGCGCTTTTGGTAGGCGAGCGGTTGAGGATGTGACGGCCGTCACCACTTTCTCTCCCGAAGATAGCCGGCATCCCCCTCGCTTGAGGAGGGCCCGAGCCATCCCCACAACCGTCTGGTTGCGCGCTCGGCGACGACGACTTTCTGCTGCGAAACATCTGGACGCAGGAGTAGTGGCGCTGAATGCCCTCGTCGCATAGTGACGACGCGCGAATTGAGCTCGATGGCGTCCATGACCTCTCTCTTTCGCCGAGGACCATCACCCACATGTAGCGGGAGAGGTCGTCGACGAAAGCAAGCAGGAATGGCGTCGTTCTCCCGGTGTGGGCGGTGTCACCGGGCCACACAAGTCCCGTGCACAAGCTCGAGCCTCTCCTTGGCTCGAAAGCTCGCCCATTGGGGAAAAGGGAGTCGCCTCGCTTCGTCAACACGCAGACGCCGCAGAGCTGCTCCACATGGTCGAGGCACGGCAGCCTCGCATCATCTCCGTGGCAATCGAGCCGCTTCAGGCCTCAAAGTGAAGGTGCCCAAACGCTGCCGTGTTATCGCGCACGCCTCGTCGTCCCGACGAGCGGCGAGAGGGTTGTGCACACCGCACGTTAAGAACGTAGAGTCGACGGCGCTTCGGATACCTTGGCAAGAAGGCGCGACGACGGCGATCCCAAATCCTCATGACTCCGTCCTCAACCACCCTTGCGAACCGTTCTCATCCAAATTGTCCCCAAGGCGATGATGGAGTTCCTCAACGCGGGGATGTAGTAGACTCCGGTGAGCGTACCTGTGCTCACCAGACACGATGGTGAAGATGACGGAGCCGCGCGCCTTGATCTCCACGCGGAGGCATCCCCAAACTTGCGGAGCCTCGAGCGCTAGAGTCAAGCTCGGTGAAGAACTCTCGTCGACCGGTCATGTGATGGGTGGCGCGGCGGTGTCGAGGCACCACCCGTCGATCTTGTCGTTCTGCGAGCTGTCGCCGAGGAGGGCGTGTGCTTTTGGCTCGTCGAGGTGGGAGAGAGCCAGCTGCGGCGTGCTGCATTGGAGGTAGCTTCGATCTTGGCATGTGCCATGAACAGAGCCGGCTCCTCCTCCTCCGCTTTGTCGACGTGGGGCTGGCCGCGTCGTGGTTGTCGACGATCCCTGGCCCAATGGCCAAAGCTGGCGCGCGATTCGGCGGCAGTGTCGTCTCGTGCGGCTTGTGCTGCCGTGGCGGCGCCTGGGCGCCTCATGGCATCACCCTCGGCACATCCTCGCGCGCCCGGACACAAGGCTCTCTCGCGGCTTGCCACGCTTATGCCGCT